GGCTGTGAGGGGTGACAGGGCTCACAACGGGGCCCGACGGGCTCTGAGGAGCTGACGGGGCTCTGAGGGATCTCCAGCGGGTTTGACAGGGTTCCAGGGGCTCTGACAAGGCTCCACTGCTCTGGAAGGGCTCCATGGGGTCTGAGGGGGCTCTGCGTCTGTGACAGGGCTGCAAGCCCCAGCCTGTTCTCCACACAAGGAGGAAAATCCATCTCCTCCTTTTCCTGACTGTAACATTTTGAATTGCTGGTGAAATAGAGGGACTGCAGAATAACTTAAATATAAACAAGCAGTACAGTCCAAGTGGCACAAAAGTCAGTTAGTCCTGCGCTAATGAAGCACATTCCCAAGTTATTTGTAACTTCGTGTAAAGTTTCACAGCGTACTGCTGGGATCCTTCACAGCCTCATCTGCTTCTCTCCTACTCCCAACATCACACTGTCCGTGTGTCAGTTGCTTAAAGGAATTAAATTAAATTATTCCAACAATCTGACCTTGTCCTTTCATAATCTATGTCCTTAAGAATCAAAGACAATTTTACTCAACAGAAGAGGTCCAGGAATAGTTTCCCCAGTACCTGATGCCCTGAATCACATTTGTCTTGTTCCCCCCAGGTATTCCTGCACACCCAAATCCCATTGGCAGGTCACGCAGCATTGCTCCAGCCCCACTCCTCCCCTCTTTGCCTTTGCTGCAGACCACCAGGACCCTGGGCAAGGCCAGGATCCCCAGCACCCAGCACAGACACAAACCAAGGGCTGTACCTGGGCTGTGCTGTATTTTTGCCAGAGGGAGGATCATTCTGCATTTCTGCATTCCTGCAGGAGCAGGAATGTGGATAGAGCTGATCTGTACCTGGCAGACCTCCCCCACCAAACTGACCGGTGTGTCACAGGGCGGGCACACACCGGTAATGACAACACAGGCCATTCCCTCAGCCCCAGGTGTGTGCAATCAGGTGAGTCAGGAAATTGAAGGCCAGCTATTCAGCAAGGTCTCTTTGTGTGACACTGTCGCGGTGTTACTCAGAGCTGCGCTGCACGCACAGGTTCGTGGACTATAATTTAGTACCAGAAAATGTATAGCCCAAGGGGCTGGTGACAGAGCAGAGTCATGTGTAGGCAGACAAAGCTGCGAAACGAGAAAAGGTTTAGCATGAAATGTTCCAACCAGCTTCCCGCAGAAAATGCTGCAGGAAGAAAACAAAGGGGTCCAGGATCTGAGGGGAAAGCTGAGAGTGGCTTTGAGACGTGGAGAGATCCTGGGTGGAAGAAAACGTGGGGTGAAAACACGGATGCTGGCAGAGAGGTTCACCCCTGGGCGGGCACAAGAGTGCATACAAAAACACAGAGAAAAGACACTTCCTGTGACTGGAAGGGAAATAGGTCCTGGCAGGTGCTGGGATTGTGTGGATCCAGCAAACGTGTGTTTTGGAGCAGGGCAAGTCGAAGAGGAGGGGACAATTACTGTCAAGGCAATTACCAGCGCCAGAAAAGGGAGCAAGCGGATCAGGGGATTGTGCTGAAGGTTACAGTGTTTATCACCGTGGCAGAATTTCACCGGGATCCCAGGAGCGCTTTGCCTGGCACACGTATCTCCGTACAGGTAGGACAGACCCACAGGGGCCGAGGCAGCGCTCA